AGGATTGTCTACCCCATGACGTAGGTCGGTACAGGCACTCAGGCAAAATCCGGAATTCGAAGTATAAAAAATGGACCATAACGTCCGATTTTTCTGCTTGAATCAACTCATGATATGATTTTAAACATTTTATAACGTATGACTTTTTTCCATAAACTGCGCCATTTCCGAGAAAATGATGATCATATACATGATATGACTCCGGCAAAATCCGGAATTCGAAGTATGAAAAATGGACCATAACGACCGATTTTTCTGCTTAAATCGACTCATGATATGATTTTAAACATGTTATAAAGAATGACTTTTTTCCATGAACTACACCATTTCCAAGAAAATCGATGATAAAAGTCGTCCGTATCCCGACCTGCGTCATCAGAAAAACCGAAGATGCCCGAGATGCAAACACCTCCTTTTTATCACTATGAACTTCTCCTCCTTTTTAGGTATTATGCCGAAGCCCTAGACAAATTGCACAAGAAAACCCAAGGTGAGAATAATAGAGAATTGAATTGCTCAATAAGTTTTTCCTTTTTTTTTCAAGTTATTCGAGGTTTTTAATCCATTTGAGGATTCTGCAACCTTGAATAATGAGCATCGGGTTAGGGTTAATACACACCCTTCAGGGATTCAGGCCAAATGGAGTCTATCTCTGCAGATCCACTCAATAGTTCCTTGAAAATGTGTCGCCATCACCGGGATTTGAACCCGGAATCAGTTGGTCTACAAGCAGACGCGCTGACCGCTAGGTCAACCTAGCCAGCTGCTCAAGAAGTTAAATATCTATTTTCAGAGCCCATCTGAGGGCTCTTTTATCATCACGTAATGAGACTCGAGGGAGGCCGCTGATGCTTCCATGGATGGTCATCAGGGTAATTTTGGAGTGACCCTCGGTCCTTTCGCGGGTTACCTATCTCTCTTGCTCTCACTTGACCCTCAATCAGGGGCGGTCTATCCAGGGGTACCACGGTGCATCAGTACCCCAGAAATTTTGACGGGTGGCTCAGAGAGCCCCGGTAGGCTTCTTGCAGGGACCCCCAAAACTTGAAAAACCTCCACAAAAGACGAGTTTAGGATAGGTAGAGGAGGCTCCTACCCGAGATGAAGGGGTACCGAAGATGTATTGGCACCCCAAGAATTATCAAGCCAAACCGACACTGTCCTCAATATGTATAAGTCGCATTCTCTTTTGTGACTATTCATAAAATACATTTAAAACAACCTAAACCAGCTCACTGGAGCGCTTTTTGCCTCCCTGAAAGAACACATATTTCGAAAAGTCATCTGGAAAATGACACCATTCACGCCGCCTTCTTCCGGGAGGAACGTAATCGAACACTTATTTTGACAAGCGATCATCCGCATATGCCCGTACCAAACCAATTAATTGGGGCATTTAAAACATTCTTCAGGGCTGGATTAAGGGGGTGGCCACATGGCGGCAAATCTATAGGGGGCGGTAAATTTTGCAATTTTTTTAAATGTAGGTATAAAAAAAATCGGATTTAGAAAAAAAAAATTACAAACGAGAAAAGGCGACAAAATCTCTAATTTTCTGAGAGTATAGTGATCTCTACTTTTGTCGTCTTTCATTGATGCAAAGAGGCAGTACCTTTAATTAGTCGAGTTAAGAGAGAAACCAAATACTGGCCTGGAACGGCGCGACTTACCTAGAGAGAAATGATGACGAGGACTTGAGATGAAAAGGAGAAGCCCTCGGCGCGGCGATCGGCATGTAACACATATTAGCGCCTACAAGACTGCACGAATACTTCACGCATTGCATCAAACACGGTGCAGTCTTTGCGGACAGCGTGAAACGTATAGCGCCTACAAGAATGCATGAATACCTCACGCATTGCGTCAAACACAGTGCGGTCTGCGAGGCGCGGCGGCAGAAGTTAAAATCATTAATCCACATTTATGTTTGTTCTTTCATAATTTTTTCGTTCATTTCTTATGAACGGAAGACCTTGTCCACACAGAGATAGGTTTACGAAACTTAACTTTTGCGGAAAGTTCCGTGAACTTTTGCTAGTAGTGTTGACAGGGCTTTCCCAAGAAATGTGTTCAACACCAGTAAACGCGTCTTATGCATCCCTCCCCCACTGGCATATTCACTTGATGGTTTTTATTGATGTTTCAAAACGAATGAGAAGGGGGTGGCAAAATACTAGCGGCCCTTGGGCGGCAAGTAGGTAAATCCGGCCCTGTCATTCTTAGCTTCCATTACTTCACCCTCTCGTTTCATTACGAACACACAGAAACACCCTCTACGCAGATTACGGGCAGATTTTCGCAAAAACTCCAAGTCAGTTGTCCTCAGGAGTTTCTTACATATGGACGGTGAAACTACCAGACCACGTATCTCGTTTGCGGTGTTTAAAAATCTCCGCTCCTATTTTTTTTTATTTGGAAAAGAATAAATCAATATCGTTCCTTGAAATTGTCTTACAAATAGAGCTTACTTCGCACCGAGGAGAAAAAATACTAAAGTTTTCAAGAATTTGCGTTGAGGTACAGGCGGGGGCACAGCCCCCTTTCCCACAATGGCGCCATAAATCTGTTATTTTCCTTTAAAACTCTATGATCTTATAGCATCGCGATGTCGTTTCTTACAAAAAAACAATAATCATTTCTCGCTTTAATGAATTGAGATTGATTAAGGTCAAAACATCCTCATCTTTCCAAAGTCGAATTTCAGTTACCCAGATGTGATTTGTAAGGTTTTGACATGACCAATTTCATGATATTCCTTGAACATTTCAGTGTATTTATTCGCTTTCTTTCCTCTCCTCATCATCCTTTTTCTCTTCTTTAATTGATTCATGCTGAAAACCGCACGGGCAGTTTTATTCTTATAAGCACAAGCGAAGGAAAACGTACATTATGCAATCTCCGGCTGAAAAGTGAGGTAACAACACGTAAAGGTCAAGTGAGGACAAAATAGACGGTTACCCTTGCATGGATTCGAAAGTCACCAGGTCGTGGAAAATCCTAGCATTACTTACCCACTGAAAAAGACTCTCGGGACGTTGATACAAACCAATAAGTCCAGTCAATCTTCCAGAGGGAGGAACTTTTTCTTGATCTGTTTCGTCGGCTTTTAGACCAGGACAAATAGCTGGTTGTAATTTTAATTGAAGGCAGAATCTTGAATCTCGTGACAACTCCACCTATGAATTTGGAGATTAGATTAATTCCGTATATTCACTGGGAAAAAAACCACATTGGATCTAGAGTCCAAACTCTTGAAAACATTCACAAGAAAAAATACTCTTGATTCAATCGGATTTTCGCTTGAATGAAAACTAAATCCGCTTAAATTAAGAGGCTTGGTTCTTGATTTAAGCTAGATTCTGATTGGATCGAGAGTACTTTTTCTTGTCGATGTTTTTAAGAGTGTGGGCTCAAGATCCAAAGTGTCTTTTTTTCCAGTGTTGGGAGAGGTGCTGTAAAAATTTAAATAATATACCTGCATTAAGAGGCGAGCGTATTTTTGCCACTTCATTGATTGTAGAATCTATAGTACCCGTGCTCAGAGTATTTAACGATGTGACAAGCGCTTTATCACAGTAGATTACAGCAGTCAACTCCTTCCTTAGACAGGTTATCCGACCCATTCCCATGAAACGTGAGGAGTGTCGCGTATTCTATTTTGGTAAGGCTGTAACCTGGGACCTAAGGGCCTGAGGGTCAAATTTTGCTAGGGTCTCCTGATTTTGTGATATTCTAATTGTAGATTTGACAGGAATGATCTTAAAATTGGAACACATCAGAGGGAATGCAAGTGCGGGCCTGGGAGGTCCGGCCTGAGAATCATTGGGATAGGTGTAAATAAATGGTTCCTAAGGCCCAAAATCTTTATCTTTCGTCTTTGAAATGAACAATGAATATGCACTCTGTGATGTATTTTTAGAGCTATTTATGAAATAAGGGTCCCCAAATTGAATCAAGCCAAATTATGGAAGATTGGACTTAGAACCGGCCCCTCAGGTCCTGATCGGGAGGACTGGAGTTAATCTTTGGATAATTTCCATCCAATATTTGGCATTTCCATCTCAGAATATTATGAAGGTATTCTCATAATATCCAAATCCGAGATTATCGAATTTTTTGCTTCATATCCTGAATTTTTTTTCCAGGTGGTACGATTCTCAGAGCATAATCCTGATGTTTCGTTTGCTTTTCTACCTTTGCGTTTAAGTCTCTGACCCGTTCCACAAGTTACTCAACACAGTTCTGAGACCTACAGGCAGACTAAAACATCCTGAGCTTGTGGAATAGGTATGATTATCATGTCTTTTGAGCTCCTAAATTTGAAATGACTCGCAGACCCTCCTTGCTTCAGAAACTACTCCTGCCACAACCATCGCAGGGGCGGAACAGTTCTACTTGTCTCCGGGCGGCGAAAAGTCGACTCCGAACATGGAAATGGCACATGAAAATTTTGTTTGAGTTGTATTATTTCACTCCAGAACCTACAAAATTTCACTTAAACTGGCTTGAAATTTTTATTTTTTAAGGATGGCAGTACGAAAAAATGGGAGAGGGATGAAACGAAAAAATATAATTAATTTCGCAGGAAGTACGATCTTTGATTGATTTTCAAGACCTTCGGGTGTGCAGGATTGATGATGACACATAAAATTTTGTTTGAGTTTTATTATCTCACTCCAGAACCTACAAAATTTCACTTAATCTGGCTTGAAATTTCGAATTTTTAAGGATGGCAGTGCGAAAAAACGGGAGAGGGATGAGACGAAAAAAATGTAACTAATTTCGTAGGAAGTAGGATCTTTGATTGATGGTCAAGACTCTGGGGAATGCGGGATTGATTCCTGGAGAGGAAATCCACCGGTAAAGTGCCGTCTTCTTATGATGACCCTACTGATGATTCTCCTCATCTCCCGGGATGGGGTCCGTCATCGCTGTGCCCCTCTTTCCCTCCTCCCGAGTATTTAAAGTATCTCGGTCTTGTCGGCCGTGAGTCACTTGTATACTGCCCGTCCTGAGCCTCGCCAAATCGTGTGTGGAACCGTCTCTGCGTCTCCGTCCTCCTCGAGCTGGTGTTCCGGACTCCTCCCGATTCCTCGCTTCCCCGGTCACATGTTCTCTTCTGCTATGCATTGCAGGCCCGTGTCCGTCGCTCCCCTGACTTTCGTTTCAAGTTCACTATCGCCGCTCATTTAGAGTTCTTACATATCCGAAAAAGGTGATGCCTCTGTGCGCGTGCCAATCCTAGCTCCAGTCTCCACTTCCGGCTTTTCGAATTTCGCTCTCGAATTTTCGTGCGTACTTTTGGAATTCGTTCCCCTGGCAGTTCTCGATTTAACCGGTGTGCTTGAAGTTCTCAAAAATTATATGATTTTCAAGTTCGTCTGTTCATGTTCTAGATTCTTGGATTCTCACAACGTGAGTAGTATTTTGAATTCTTGTTTATATACATCTTTATTTTAGGGGCCTGCTGGAGGACAAAGTTTGTAAGTGCAGTTTTCGAAAAAGTTGAGATATTAGTGATTTCAAGTAAATCTAGGTTTGAAATCAATTCTGTGAAAAAATCACTGGTAAAATCCAATTTTTGAGCAACAAAATGTGAGTTTGAACTTTTTTTCGCCATTAAGCTTCATATGATTTAAAAACTTTAAACACGTTTTCCTCAAAAAAGCAGAAACTGAACTAATGCGCCTTGTCCTCCAAGCCCTTCAGTTTATGTTCACATTGAATTTATCCATGATCCGCACAATAACTAGGAATTCGGAGAGAGGGGTGCTACCGTGTGCTTGAATTATAATTATGAAGGTTAGTCATTTGTTATCTTTTTAGCCTGACGATTATCCATGGATTCAGTGTATTATATTTGACAATCATTTGGTTATTCGCAAAATTCGTATTGGTAAAGAAATATTTCAGTTGGGGAATTTCGCGTCTAAAAATTTTCCGTTTGAGCTTTCCGGGTCGAGGAAAGTTTAAAGCATAATACCGAGCAATAGCATTTTATTCCGGCACAAATTATTCTAATTTCCTCATCAAGTATCCTAATTAGTTATGTAAAATTAAGTTTTAAATTCCAACTTAAACTCCATAGTCAAATTTGAATTCTGTACCTACCTTCGGACAAGCACAGGTGTACAAATGTTTTTAAAACAAGGCAAAGATTAGGAAAAATACTTTTGAGGGGATTTTAGCTCTGAAAAAAAACTGACGCTAGTCTTTTCCAATCACGTGAGAATCTCCTGCGAAACTCATGCATGTTAGGAAAAACAGATTTCATTTATTCAGATTTAGCAGCCAATTACACGTAAGAATTTTTTCTGATTTTCTTGACGAGCAAGTTTCCTTGATCAAAAATTCATTGCAGGGAAATCCCGCTTAGTTAACAAATATAAGTCTTATTCGTTTTTTTTGCGTCTACTAGGGCCATTCATTAGTATAGTTTGCTAATTAAGTCGAGAATTACTTCAAATTTTCATTATTTTAGAACTATTTTCTTGGTGAAAAATCGTATTTTTTAAAAAAAAAAAATCTGAGCTGAAAAAAATCATTACCTATTGGAAAATTCGATTCTCCCAAAAAATCGTGGATTGCAGAACAAATTTGAGGTCATGTTTAACCTCAGCAACAGCAAACACTTATGAAAAGCACAATAATGTAGCTAGACAAATATTTTTACCTTCCTTTTTAGCCAAACGGATAAATTTTACAGTGGTTACAATTTTGTCTTTTGACCAAGGAAACTCTCTCATCAAGGAAAAAAAGCAGTTCCTAGGCATGCCATCAATGTAATTCAACTTTCTGATCGCTGAATACGAAGAAAACTTGCGTTTTTTTGCAGCGCAAAAACCAATTTACCGGGCAAACTTTGACTTTACAAAAACTCCTTACATTATGATAAAAACAAAAGGTATTTTGGGATTTAGCGTTGAATAAAATATTTTAAAAACTTCTTCTCTGATCTTCTCCTCATTTTGGTCGAAGAACTTTGACAGCGTTATGTATTTTTTAACCCTAGAATTTTTTATACATATTGAAAAGGATTTGGAAACGAAAGGGAACTCAATTCAAACATTAAGATCAAATGACAGAACTTAAGAAGGATGACTTATTTTGTAGGTGTAATGCGTCAAACTGTTCATTAGAGCCCCTAGTATTTCTAAAGGGAACTCCCCAAGAATTTTTGTACTTCCGACCTACCCGCCTATAACACTGACCTTTTTCTAAATAAACGGATTTTAGTAGGGGAATAAATTCTGTATGAAACTAAAATCATGAGATATTCAAGAGAATCGATTCTGGATTCCAAACATGGCCATCTCACAGAGGAGCCTCTTTAAAAGTTCAGTCTTTGCTGGAAAAAAAAAATGTCAATTTTATCCGAATCAGCTGCATTGCACGTAAAATAAAAAATATACACATAGGACATTCAATCTGAATGAGTGTCCTCCTAATGTGCTGAATAGGTTTCGCTAATAATAATAATAAAAAAAGAAAAACGAACTAACTAACTAATTAACTACTCAGGTATTGAGGCTCTTCTTATTTCCAGAAACCAAAAATTTAGTTTTGTAAAAAGTCCGTTAATTAGATAAAAAAGGCTTATACATACATATAATAGAGTAAATACATGCATAGATACGGTTTATACCTTGAAAAAATTGCGGTGGATGATTTATGTTAGATATGTGGTTATATGATTTTAGCACTGAACCGGACTTTTTTATTTCTCACCAACGATTCTTCGTAAGTGCGGCCATTCTAAAAAAAAATGCCGATTGTTCAGTCTAAAATTCAAATTCTAATCTGCAACTCGTTCCAAATGCATTTTATAAAGTATGCTCACCTTAAAATTTGTAGAGCATACAATTTTTGATCAGGAGAGTTTTACACGGAGAGAAATAAAATGTTGATTTGGCATTAATATTGTTATAAAAATGTGCGACAAGTTTCAAATGCTGATTTTACTTTTAAATAAATGCTAACTTAACTTCGCCCATGGTAAAATGAACTTTCAAATGTTGAGTCAGCATCTTTGCATTGTAAAATCAGCATTTGAAACTTGACGGCCCTTTTTTACAATTTAAATGCGAAATCAACTTTTAATTTTTTTCTGTGTACGCGTAGGACTCTCAACCAGAATAAGGGCCGCTAGAGGCCGCCTGTTTGTTGGAAATGGTTAAAAAAAAGTATTCGTTACCTCTTTTCTGCATAAAATGACCTAATAGACTCTTCTTCTTCTTGCGTTTGAATTTTTGTCCCCTAACGAGGCACCTGTATTCGTTTCTCGATGGTCCAAAAGGCATTCATGACGTGTATAATATGAACAATCAGTTTACTTCCCATTTCACAAAAATTAGAGTGATGGTGCTGCTGGTATTAAGTATTGCTGCTCGTTAAAAAACGAGGTCTTTTTTAAGAAACGATTCATTTTGATGATATCATCTTATTTTAGACATTTTAAGTGGTGTTATTCGTATTAAAAACTGTTGCATTTTTATGATAATCTCAATCATACCCTTAATCCTTCGTTTTCACGATATCGTATTAAGAATTAAACTGAGTTTTCTTATTTTGAGCTGTCATATAGAAATATCATATGAGATGTATGTGTTTCCCTGTGGAAACGAGTACTGATCATTAAACTCGACTCTGGTTATCCACATTAAACTTAAAATGCGCTAAGTTTCAAGTTTGATTGAGTTCCTAGTACTTAAAGGGTATTTTATTTACTGTATTTAATGTGAAGGAAAATCAAACTGACTTTATTGTTTAAAGTAAAATATTACTTTCAAATTATTTTGTACCAAAAATGTGTGCAACACAAGAAAAATTTAAATAAATAACACGCGAGGTTTAACTATAAAAATACATCATTTGAGGAGCTTGAAGGACACGCCGTATAAGTGCAATTTTTGCTGCTTGAAGAAACACGTGTTTTAAGTTTCAAAATTACATGGAGTTTTACGGCAGAAAGGAAGTTTAAAGTCACTTTTTGATGCTTTAAAGTTGGATTTTAGTTGTGAATTTTTTACAGAATATACTTTCAAACTAGTTTTAGTTGAGTCGAAGAATATCTCAATTTTTTTCAAAAACTGCACTTATGCACCTTGTCCTCCAGACCCCTCATTTTAAGCTGCACATTGCAAAGGAACCTTATTACAATTTATTATCCTGTATTATATTCAACCATAATTTTAATGGAAACTTGAATCTTGAGTGGACACAGGAGTACACGAAAAATGAGGTCATTGCCGATGGGGAACATGCTGTCATTGCTGTCCTGCATAGTTTTGGGTTCAGAAGGGGAGGAGGAGGGATTGAAAAAATTCCTTGCGTTTCTTGTGACATACTTACTAAAATGAAGGAAAATAAAAAAACAGAACAAGAGCATTCTTTTCAGAATATGTGATGGAGTAAAGCAAATGACCTTAATACCATGGGGGCTGAAAATGTTCAGTATAGTGACAACCCCGTCTTGGCAACAAAAATATCGATTTTCAGTTTTCAATGCTGAACGCTTCTTACCCTCAGCGATATTGTTAAAAGAATCCGAAATGAAGCACGGCTAACAACAGCGCTGTCAATATTTATCTGTGTTTATATCCAATTCGCGATTTGCCCTCTCTAACTCCCACATTTCCTTGGAAGGTACATTTTTGAGAGGGCCGAAATAATTTCTAGGAGTATATAAAGATCATGTAATTCTAAAACAGATGTCAAATTATTTTCTCTTTATAGCGCGCGGCAAAAAAAAGGGAATTAGAAAAGATTAGAGTGAAACTGGTACGGTGTTAAATTTTGTTCACCATATCGATGACAGTTTGGACTTAAAGTAGGGTCGCGAACCCCCGATCCTCCGTGGGGGGTCCGGGAGAGAACATGAATGAACATTACAGAAAATGAACATTAAATTTTAAAACAAAATATGTGACAAATTGCAAATCATCATCTACCACCGTATCATAATGGCAACCGCAGTCAAAGTTTTGAACTTGTGTAATGAGCTACCATTTTCAATCGGCGCGGCGATAGGTTGAAACCTCCAGTTTTCCCTCAGAAAGTTTCTCTTTCATGTCATTTCCAATTTAATAGATATCATTTGATTGAATTTGTCTGTAAGCGAAATATAGTTTTGGGGGTTCGACGACTATCATTGAAAGAAACTTATTTGGGAAAGACAGTGAAAAAGAAACTTCTTGACAAAAATTGGAAGTCCCTCCCCAGAAAAAGTTCTATTTTGCCGTCATTTTGAAACTATGAAGAAGACCTGCAGAAAGTTCCAAAATGTTTCTTTTTTTTATGCGCTTTTAGCACGTGTCACAATAGCGGAGATTGGCCTCTCTTTGATGTTGAGGCCTCGTGTTGAATGTCTGTATTCTTGGGGTGTGCCTTCTTTCAGAATACTCTTGTGGGGTGGGAGGAAGGGGTCATACCCCTTTAAGATGTTTTCTCCTGAAGATGGTGATCAACGGTTCAAACCGGAACATTATAACTTGAAATTTAAAGAAGTGACAATGGGTTGAGCATTTCTCTTATCTCTAAGTGAAGAAAGTATAATGCAAAAATTGAAAAGAAATGTTTTTTAGTCACGCAATTTTAAAACGAGAACAACACATTTTTCCGTTTCATCTGACTCTCAAATTGTTTTACTTCTCTCTTTTCAGAGCTTTCATCTTCAACAGCAAGAATAATTATTTCCGTACATTCATCTACTTAAATGTGAGTACTGCTCTCCCAGTATTTAAACATTTTCACGTGAATCTTCTCTGCCTAAGTCAAGACGATACTTCCCCTCAAAGGGATCGTTTGTGTGTTGATTTCTATAAGTTAAAATCGATCAAATGCTCGAGAGATCGTTACCAAAATCAGATCTAATTTTAAGTTAAAGTTAGCTAAGTAGGGACTGCCGAGCTTACCCTGTCCCTCTATGGAGGAAGAGAAGGCACAGTTCCACGTAAAAAAAAGAAAAAAAAAAAAAAAAAAAAAAAAAAAAAAAAAAAAAGGCCAATGGTGTGCTACTCCCGGAAGATTAATTAAAAAACCAAAACGTAGCTTTTTATCTCTTTTCTGTTTACCAAACTTAGCATGAAATCGATATGTTACACGAAACTTAGCGAGGTCAATATTGAGAGGATGGAGGAGGCGATTCTTTGGAAAGGCGACTGGTCTCAAGTTCTCGGTCAAGTTGCGTCTGCGTGCGTTGCGCAACGGACCATTGTGTCTCCGCATTAACGTAGGAATTAAAATTCATCGTTAAGTATAAGTACCGCCTTCTGGGCAGATCCGGAGAGCTTGCATCGATCCTCCCGGCTCGGCGCAGCGGGAATAATTCATGCGAGGACGTTGAAGCTTCCCGCGAGATAGCCACAGCTTCTTCCCACAAATGTGGCCATTTTTTCGCGTTTGCATCTCCGCGGCAGCGCCAGATTTCCTCCCTCCCGGAACCAGATCTAACGGAAAATGCGTATTGTCTCGATTAATTTGGCGGCCTTACTAATTTTGAGTCCAGAGCGGTGACCGTTAGACCATTACTGGTTATCCATGATGTCCCGTTTGCAGATTTCCCCCTCCTCCTCGGCGAGGCCCTCTCCGTCGAGTATGTTGAGTCGATCCCGGCGGAGGAAAAAAATTGTAAGTAATTCCCTCGATTGCAACTCCCACATTTTTGTCCGACTTTTACAGCTGAGAGGGGCTTCATCTGTACCGTTCGCTCGTAACGGGCTCTTTCTTTAAATGGGTCGTTAAAATTTCAAAAGCCGTTCGGAGAGTATTAAACTGAATTCAAGAGATTCGACTTTTTATCCCAGGGACGCCGACGGCCGAACCTCTCATGAATTACGTAACTCTGTCCGAACTGTCTTCATTCTTCTAGACGCAGTTCCTCAAACGTGAGGAGGTGACCTTAGAGGTTTTGAAGATTGGGTCTGTTGCACTGAAAGCCACGAAGTCTGAGACCAATTTTCATGGCTAAAAACTGAGGTCTGAATTAAGATTTACAATTAATTTTCCCTCTGTTTATCATCTGAGTATTCATAACAATCATGACAAATAGAGGTAGGAACAGAGCAGCAATGGGTCTGTTGCGCGCAAGAGATACAGCCAAATAAATTTACTCTTTACGGATAAAATTGCACAAAAGTCATGTTGAGCACGTCAAAAAAGTATGATATCCATTTTTTAGCTCGCAAGCTGCCCAGTTTATAACGCGCATCTCAAGTTTCCCGCGTCTGGGAGCAGTTCCTCGAAGTCACTGGCGATCAAATTTGCACAGGCAGAGGAGTAAGAATATAACTAACCTGAGTAAACAAACAAATTCACCAACTTTCTCTATTGCATGATTCAATAGTTTTCAAGCGTTTCTTTCGTTTTTTTTTCTATATTTTGCAAAACCAAAAGTTCTGATTCACTTAAAATCTTACGCAAGAAAGGTTTATTTCAGTTTGCAAAATTGTATGTTTATTTAGGTTAGGCTCCACTCTAGGCAATCCTGACTGCCGGCTACCAAGACAAACAGCCCGCATACGCGGGATTGGTCCCGAATTCGAATCGCAGGAATGATACTTCTGGGATTTTTCCCCCTTGAACAAAACAACAGCATTTATTCTTATTCTCTCTGAGTCGCTCTTCTCCACAAAGACTCTACTTGGTACTGTGATTAGCATTGACTAACTCAATATTTTTTCCAAATTCGCGTGTGAGATTTTTCCCTGGGATAAATTTCTCTTTTTATCATCATAATGAATGGGACACTGTCATATTTTTGCTCGAGCGAACCGTCCTCTCCGGGTATCGAAAGTGATAATGGATCGTATTCGATAGTGGTTCATTGTATTGTTTGGTTCAATAAACAATAGAACATTACCTCAATCCAAAATTTTAGGATATAAGTCAGTAAAGCTGAAAATGAGAAATTTTGTAGCAATTCCACTACTCTTGGCCAATTAGCACTCGTACGAATTGCATACGAATCAAAAATCTATCACAAAAAACTCGTTCCGTCAGATTACTCAAATGGCTTTTGAGGCTATGTTTATGTTTTGAACCAATCGACATCGATACAATCTCGCCCGTTCGATGTATATCGAATACGATCTATACGACGATGACAAATAATGGATGAGCTACAGAATAAAATATTGAGCTTGAGCTAGATGACTAGATGACACACATAAAGCAAAAAGTAAGAACGTGTTGGTCAAAGGAGGGCATTATATGGGTCCAATACTTTCGAGTTACCCGCGCTGCGGCTGGCCCTGGCTCTCCTCCGAAAGAGAGACCCGAGGATCCAAAGTCATAAACAGCAAGTTGAGAAACCGGGACTCAGACGATCTGTGAGATACGACCAACAACTCCCCCCCTCCCCCTCCTCCTCCCCTCCCCCCTCCCCAAGCTCGATCATCTCTCTTCCGCGTTGCTGAGGTAAAGTCTGCTCTCGAGTCATAAAATGTTGGCCGTTTTAAATTCCTTGATTCGTATACGGGCTAATCAAGGGAGTAGCCACGAATTTGACCCACCGGCTTCGTGACTGAGAACCACGGGTTCGTCGGAGAACCTTGGTGCTAGTTTGAACCTAGTTTGCTCGACCTGTATATTTTGACGGATTTGAAGCACTCTTCCGTAAGGAGCTCCCCTCCCTCCCTAACTGCTCGCTCCTATGGGAAAAGGACCTTGTGGAAAATATTCCATTCTGTTTGCCTTATAACCGCACTGATCTTATTATTAACTGTAAACTCGTTTTAAACCGTTTAATGGGCGACTCAAAAGTACAATGGAGAATTTGCAGGTGTCTGCAATTTTGTGAATGTCATAACTTAGAAGAAACTCTAGAAGACACTACTGAGTGAGCACAAGAAAATACCTGATTTCTGAAATGAACAAGTATCTGAAGTGATACAACCAAATGGCCTAATCTGCTAAAATACATTGTTTAAATGGAAAATACCGCCTGATGCATGGCTTCACAAAGCGGCGGATTTTCTAACTCTTAAATCTATTTTTCTATGATTCCCCGTATCAGAAGAAAAATTATGAAAAAACCACAAAGGCAGCTCAATAAGCATTCTGAGTAACAGCAATTAAAGTTTTTGTGCAAACTCTACATTTGAATGTGAAACATTGCTCCAGGAGGGCTCCATCGACGAACGTCTTTTGAAACACCCGATCATTTAAACATCTCTCTGGTAAATTGTGTTTCGGTCGCTAAACTCCAGGTGTAGGTTGGTGAAAGTTTACTTACCGGACGGGCCTAAGTATTCAATCACAAATTTACAAAATAACTAAAACTTGTCTAAATTTCTAGCCAGTGATTTATAGACAATCAAGAAAAGACCTTGTCGGAAGTTCCCCCAAAACTTTTTGATGTCATGAACGACCTTGAATTACCAACTGATTTTTATGGTTTCTTCAAGTGTCACGAATGTTTCAGGTTACGCGTATCCTCTGTTTATTGAGCATTTATGGGACGAGATAAGTATTCAGCGTACCGTCTCCCAAGATCAATGTTTCCATGTGCTCGATACACGTGTTAAAAGTACTGTTTTCGATCCTGAAGTTATTATAATCTAAGGGAGTGAATTAGCTATCGGAGGAAATATATCCGCTGTCTTTCGGGACTAATCCACCAAACTTTACCTACGAAACTTAAGCCCATGAAAAAACCCGACGAACAATTTTGATTTTCTGAGGTCCCGATGTATACTTCAATGTAGCCACATTTGCAAGTTTAATCAATCGTCTTGTTGCAAATCGCGCTTTTCGCCGATCAATTCGGCACTCGAGGCGTAAAGGCTTGCCGCTAAAAGTCCGGAAATTTTTCCACGGACACACCTATTTGCACGTCTTTACACGATTAGCACAATCCCACCCCAAAAAGTTGTTACAAATCCTCCCCCTCGCCATTTTGCCACAATCGCACCCATTCCAAGTCGCACTCATTCTAAAGCGCGTTTTTGGCCAATTGAAGTTACAGATAAAAGCACCTATGTGTGCCAGTAAAGATTTACACATCTCTGGTGTGACTCAACTACTCAACATTAGCAAATTTGTAGATAGTAAGGTCGCCATGCGTCAAGCAGGTCGCATTTGTCGGTACGCTTACTTTTCTGCCGCTGCGTTAAAGTCTCTGAAGTGATTCCTGCATTGTGCCATCTTGGCGATCTCTCGTGTGTGGTTCAGTATGATCAAATTTTTAAATAATAATGTCTATGCGTCAAGCAACTCCCGTTTGTCGGTACGCCTACTTTTCAGCACTATATTAAATATTTGTAGTGATTCCTGCATTTTGAACAAATTTTAAAAAGCTTGGGCATGAATAGTTGAAACAGCGAGGACACTGAATTAAACGATCTACAATAATTAGTCTTTTGTAGGGATTTTGGTGCACGAGAAAATTATCGGGATACATTATTAGATACCCCTCGTATATTTTCAAGTAATAGCGATCGCTTCAGATATTGGAATCGATACTATACTTCTTATTTTAGAGGTTAATTGTGAAATGCCTTTCGGCTGGCTTAATATTTTCAGAGGTTAGAATTAACATTGAGCTTAATTAGCCAAAAAACTTTTTTTATTTTCTACTTAACATCAGGACAACACAGGATTGTTAAGTATCAAGCATAAGGTGTCATTTACCAGCAAACGTTTCGGCCATTGTTTCTACGACCTTCATCAGTGCAAATTAAAAGTGGAAATGAAAAGTACAAAACTTAACAAAGAGA